TACTATAACCCGCAAGAGTTCACTTGAGACCTGAGCGCAGTAGGTAGTACACAACGGCGCTCAGGTCTCAAGTTAACTCTTACGAGCTACACTGCCAATGAGAATGATTATTGAAACGCAACTTTATAGTATTCAGACAGAGTATCTTTTATTCAAAATAAAACAAACATAATCGATTCTAATTTAAAAACTAATGTGAAGGATGAATCTGATGCTGTTTAATAAGTTTTTTGATATCATGTTCCAATTTACTCAAGAACAGCCGCAAGTCACCACGTTCGGTAACATGCAAACGATTTCTCTTTTTAGTAACCAGCATTGTCACAGCACTAAAACCACGTTCACACAAATATGACGATGGGAATGCTATCAAGAATCGTTGAACGATTGACCACAATCCAGGGTACAATTGCGGGATCGGTGTTTGTAGCCAAAATTCTTGGTAGCCATTTTTGAATTTGATTTTTATTTCCTCGTACGTTGTCAATTCTGTGAGTTCTTCTTCCAGTCGAAGTGATATTGCTATGTTGACATTTGAAAACACCCGGATCCAACACCCAGTCTGGTATTTCCAAGTTCAAAATGTTATCTATATATGGTATGGTGGAGGTTTTCCAAATGTTGGCAGTAGGCAAACAAGTCGTCGTTACTGCAGGATACTGATAAATTCGGAAAATTGTGAAACTCACGTCTGCCCATATTCTTTTTGTGTAGAAGCAGTTTGGCTGCGAAAGCAGCAACGACATTTTTTGTTTTAATTAAATTTAGTTCATCGCCTTGCAGTTGGAGATTCATGTCGTTGAACAATTTATACAGGTCTGTCATGTAAGCTATATCATTCTTTGATGTAATGAGCTTGTTGCGCAATTCTGATCTTTAGTTTCCAAGAACTCTATCACAGAGTCAAACAGGTTGTAAAATCGAGTCAGACAATAGCCTCTTGATAGCCAACGAACTTCAGTATGAAGCAACAAACGGTTGAAATCTTCGTCATTAGTAACACAAAGCTGATGAAATAATCTATCATTCAAAGAGTTGTTACGGATTTTATTGACTACTTTGATGACATATTGCAGTGATTGATATAGTCGTTCACTTAAATTTCTAGTAATCAAATGTTGTCTATGAATAACGCAATGTACAGCAAGGACATCTGGAATTTTATTTTTTAAGTATGCTATGAAGCCTTTATGGCACTCTGAATTAGCCGGAGCGCCATCCGCAGCAACTGATATAATATTTTTCAAGGGAATCTCTTTCTCATCACAAAACTTTTCCAATGTATTGAATATGGTTTCGCCTTTTGTATCGGTCTCTAAATTTCTAGCAAACAATAGTTCTTCACATATTTTCTCATCTTTAATAAACTTCACGTTTGCCTGTCATGTATAAAAAAAAAAAAAAAAAAAAAAGAGCATCAATGCTTCATTAGTTGGTAAAGTGGACTTATCGAGCTGACTTTTGAGAATTGACTAGTCCTTAGATTATTGCACAATCATTCTTCAATGTTTTCAGCCATTTCATTAATTCGTCTTTGCACAGAATTATTACTCAAAGGAATTTTTCGGATAATATCTGCGGCCGGTTTATGAAGCACAGTAGTTATTACTTCCTTTATTGCTGGCAAAATTAACTCTTGTCCGATGTTGTGTGGTTTGCCTTTTTGAGCAATTAACAAAGAGAGAGATATTGTACGACGCTCGAAATCCGTCGTCATCTTGCTTAGCAACCGCCGAAAAGAGTTTTGCTACACTTGGCTGAGTATTATGCTTCTTCTCGAGGTCTTGAAAATATGCTAAATTCTTGTCTTTCTTATCTGGATGCATTTTATTCAAATGATCTTGCAGTCTTGAAGGCTTCATTGCTTCATTCGAAAATGTATTTAGCCATAGAAGGCACAAAGGCGACGATGGGTTTGTGGGATTTTCAATGAATCCGAATTTAATATATTCCGCACAGTATTGTCGTCTCTTCTTTTTTACTTCCGACATTGCTCCGTTTTGAGAAATACGTAAGTAAGTGTTGAACTTGAGTACTGCTTATCTATTACACGCGAGACTGCAAATGAAAATAAAATAAATATTACGTTGTTTCTATAGGATTGCATAAGCAGCACACACCGGCAGGAATAAGACAAACATGCATAAACTGCATAAACTCGTTTATTTCATTCGACGCTCAATCGTACTCAACAAGTAAGAACAAGTATTCTATAAACCAGCCGATTGATACAGGAACGCACAAATCCCATTATTTAACTAGTTAAAACATGATTGCCCGCGGTATATCATCTACGAAAATTACCTACCTAGGAACACTAATAACTATTAAAATGCGAAACAGTGTCTGTTGCCTTTTTATTTGTTTGTTTGTATCTACTTTCATTTCGAAACAGAGCGACCGATTGACATGATTTTTATTTTATTTATTCAATAAAACAGGACAGATATATGAACTACACGGAGAGAAATATCGCACTGAGTTAGTTTGAGCAATCTCTTAATTAATATTAGTTCACAAGTTGTAGTCGAGAGCTCAGTCGGTGTCTAAGGGTCGTATTCTAGAACTACTCAATGCTCAAGTCAGGATTTGAGTATGGTTTAAAGCACTCGAAATCATACTCAAGTCCCTGCCATTAGGGTCGTATTTCCAGTGCTTGTGTTGCCAGTGCAATCGTGACTTGAAAATTGAGTAGAGTTCTGGAATACGACCCTAAGAGTCTTTCTAGATTAAATTACAAATCTTCCCCTAAGCCTATACACAACGCCCCCATTTTTTTTCTGGGTCTATTACCGCCCTTTAGGCCTGCAGCGCCCACAAGGAGGCGTTGTCGCCCACTTTGGAAAAGGCTGATTTAAACGCACGCAAACATCGCGTTATAAGCAAGAAGCTTATATATACACCACTGGAGTTTACACTTAGAATTTAATGTAGTCGCTTCATTTTAAAAATTAACTGAAATTAACAAACAAACAAAAAATTCTCTTTTATCAAAATGTCGGCGGCGCGTATAAAATACGCCGTGTACATAGACTCTTTGATCCGAAAAAATAGTTTCATTTCCAATATATACTAATCACGAAAACCTAAGATCTCGATATTTACTATAGTAGTCGCCACGCTTAGAATTTAAACATAACGTTACGTCTATTAGCAACAGTATTATAATAGGGGGTAATAGGTAAGACCGAAACAGAGCTTTTGTAGCACATAAGGAATACTGGTGGAATTACAGGCACATGAGACTTATCAACTTATGTCTCAGTGACGGGCGCAGTGGCGGTGCCCCCAGATAGTTATGATTGAAAGCTCTGAGTTACTGCAACTGTTATGGGCAGGCGTGTGGCTTACCAGACGCATGCCTTGTTGGTCCCGTCACTTAGTATTATAAAAAAAATACATTCGAGCAATTTGTAGAATTCCTTTGGATGAAAAATGCAGTTCCTTGTTTCAGAGCCTTTGTTTAACTAACATCATTATATTTATACCTATACAAAATTTGTATTTTTGTATGAAAACACTCATTTGTTAGAAAGCCAGTGATGTGAACACTGGGTTTCCCACGTGACTGCGAATGCCGATTACGCGAATCACGATAGAGCGAAAACGTGATCGTGACCTATAAATTTAAAAAAAAATTAAAATTCTTTTATTTCGGACAACGAGTTCCATAATTTGTTAATAATAATAAAAAGAAAAGTGCTTATAAATTAGTGTTAGTAAATTCAATTTTTATTTACATTAATTTTCAAATCACCTTTCTCATGAAGCGTTGCCACATGGGAGAGGTAATCCTACCAACCACAGTTTGTAGGATGCTGTTGGGACTGTCCCGCACTCTGCGCATCAGGGATGCCGTCTTTTTCCGGAGGATGGCAGCAAAACCATCCGTCTCATACTCTGCAAACATCCCCGATGCGCTGCAGAAACGAGGCAGTCCCAACATCATCCTAAAAATATTATTGTACTGTACACGTAGGGTCTCCAGCGACCGTTTGGTGTAGTCAACCCATAGGCTCCCTGTGTAGAAACCTGTGTTATTTCTACTTCTTCTGTATACCGAGAAAACCTACGGATCAACATATTACCTCTTACCGCTAGAACCCTACGCTCTCTTTCAATGTCGGCATTGTCCTTAAGGTCGTCGGTAATGCAATGACCTAGATATTTGAAAGAAGTTACTCTTTTAATGTTCATGCCGTTAAGGGTTAGTTCTAGGAACTCTTTAAGATTATTACCGGCGGCCTTAAAAACAATGTACATATAATGCATGACGTTTATAAAGCATGACGGCTTGTTTTCACGAATGGTCAGTTGCGGGAAGGTTTAAAAGTTCAGTTCAGTGGTTCATTTACGCTTATTATGATAGCACGTAGACAGATTTGCGAGAACTGGAATGCGCGAATGGTTAATTCTACGATGGTGCATTTGCTTCACGCAAGTTTTAGTTTAGATGTCTATAGTCTGGAATGCTTTTTCATTCATTTAAATAGGAAGGGAAGTTGATAATTGGTAACATTTTTGTTTCAATTAATCGATGTCGTATTCTCGATCACAATTGTCACAACTCTTTTTCCATTTTTTATTTAAATCAGTAAAGTCGAAATTACGAACAAAATATAGTTTTTCTCAACATTAGATTTGGGGTATTCTCAGCTGATTTAAACTTCCTCATTGTTTTGTTACGAAACCCTGAAACTGTTAGGCGATGATACATACCTATAGTGTGAATAATGGTGTATCAACGATGGGTTATTTATTTTCATAAGTTTACGTTTGTGTTGCGTGACCAGATTAAATAAAAGATTATTGTACAGGCAAAACATCACATTGGAATATGATTGAACGTAGCCATAAATATACGACATTTATGTTTACCGCTTGTTCATCCATTCACAGACCTTTGCTAAATGGTACACGAACCATGAATATCATATTTTCCAACCATAACAATGTAAATTTAAGACACATAATCCTAAACAGTTGTTCCCAATTCACAGAATCTCGCAAAATGGTGCAAAGAACACAGCATTGATCTGGTCGTCGTTGGTCCAGAAGATCCTCTTGCCAATGGTATCGTAAATGGACTCCAAGCTTTTGGTATAAAGTGCTTCGGGCCAAATAAAGCCGGGGCTCAGATTGAAGCCAGTAAGGACTATTCAAAGAAATTCATGAGCAAATATCAACTGCCTACTGCAAGATACCAGTCGTTCACCGATGCTAAAGCTGCCAAGGAGTTTATTAACACGTAAGTTATAAAAGATTGATTAAATAATTCAGTATAGGTATAGGATTTTTATGTATAATATCGAATTTCTCACTTGATTTTACTGTACATCCCTCACACTCGTAAAACGTAATGCCCAAACCTTGAAAGTTGTCAGCCATATTAATTAAAAAACGCTTTCTTAAAATCTCTATCTCTCAAAGTGTATACTTGTACTCATGACCTGAATAAACGATAAGAAGGCCTTGCCTTATCGTTTACGTTGATTTATATTTAAAGAAATGTAGATCAGTGTCGGTTATTTGTTTTTAACACGTCCTTTGGAGCTTTGGAGCCTTGGAGCCGTTAGCATATTTTAATAAGTCCTTTTATTATTTGTTATCTTCATTGCCAATTTGAATTTACACTTTGAACTTGTTTTTATAGACTTCTGAACTCAGTTTATCTAATCTTTTGTTAATTGCTTCATTTATTAAAAATAGTTGACCGAATAAAGAAAATTTTGTCTTCTTGTTTATGGTTGTTGTTTTAAAACATTATCGTCTACATCAAGTTGCACTTATAATGAACAATAATTTAGAAACTCTTCTATACCAATGTAATTCTATTCATAAGTCTTAAAAAATTCTACTCTCCCAATTAACATTGGTCACCTGCAATATCCAAAGTAGTATGAGTATTATTCTTCACTCAAAATACTGATTTTGACTACTACTATCTGACTACTGTCAGATGGCTTGACGTGGATTAAAGACCAGCGTTAAAGTTTGCGGCTGCTAGTTCTCTTACCGTGTTTTACTTCCCGATGGCAATACTTTAACGTTACACTAAGCGTTAGCTAATCCCAGAGCAAGGCAAATTCGCTGGTGGTTGGTGTCATTAATTTGCGTTCAATTGAGTACCAATTTACATTAGTACTTCTTATTCTAGGTAAAGGCAAAGTCGTTCTCTTTATCTTTAATTTATTTTCTAGTGCACCCTACCCAGCGTTAGTAGTGAAAGCTTCAGGACTTGCCGCCGGAAAGGGTGTCGTAGTAGCATCCACCAAGGAAGAGGCCTGCCAAGCAGTTGATGACATCCTTACTGATGCCAAATATGGCTCTGCTGGAGAGACCGTGGTAATTGAAGAAGTGTTGGAAGGAGATGAAGTCTCGGTGAGTATGATTTTATGGAATATTTTGCAGGTCACAAAGAACGATTCTGGGCCACTCACTACTTTATGTTAATTTGAAGGGTGTGCCGCTTGGGACGATACTGGGTCTACTAGAATATGTGAATCTGGCCTATGAAATTTGTATGTACGGCTTTTAGTAAGACGTTTCTTGTTTAGCGATAGAATTGTTAACTAACGAAAATAATGACTAGATTTTCTGTTACAAAGTCACATTATGTTTATGCTTGTTCAGCAAAATCATAATAATTCCGTGTAATCTTTATGTGTCAAACGTCGTTGATAAAGCTCATACCTTTCCCAAGGTCCTGGCATTTACCGACGGCGAAACTGTATCATTAATGCCCCCCGCACAAGACCACAAACGCATAGGCGATGGCGACACTGGGCCCAACACTGGCGGAATGGGAGCTTATGCCCCATGTCCTTTGATAACACGGGACCAGCTAGCTGATGTTCAAGACCAGGTTTTGCAACGAGCTATTGATGGCTTGAAGGCTGAAGGCATCAAATATGTTGGTGAGTTTGTACTTTATTTAACATTTGTTCAATTCCGACGATAAAGAACGTCGTTGTCTATCTGTGTGTTCGTTTGTGGCATTTTAGTTCCTGGATGAATGAAACGAAATTACTGCGGTGGCTTTTGTTTGAAAGCTGCATTATCCGAGTATAACCGTTGCAATCGTCCTCAGACTTTTTAGCTTTTCCTGTTTGTGACAAGAAAAACCGAAGAAATTTCACGCCTCTTGAAAACCGTGTGAAGTCCCCAACTAGTATGGCGTAATTCCTCTTTGTTGAACTCTTGACCTTTGACAATGTAATCTCGCAAATATTCAGACGGGCCGTCAGATGAAAAGCGATTATCGCCTACAGACAATCGCCGCTTATAGACATTTGCTATGCTAGTGAAAAATCCTTAATATCACAAATGTATTGCCGGCCGTGGACACGTCTTAAGTCTTTTGTGCGTGCGACTGTGTTCGCTCTTACTACTCCTCCATCCGGAAAACAACAGCGCTATTTTTGGTAGAAATAAGTAGGGCGGTAGTACAAGATCAAGGGCACGTCAAGATTGATACTTAAAATTTTAATTGAACTCTATGATGCTTGCGATAAGGACGGTTCAAAGAGTCAAGCTTCTGCTCTTGACTGTACGTACCTAGGTGTCCAGAGAATGTTACGTTTGAAAATTTAATTATTTACATAATAATTTCGTAAAATTGTGTAAATAAATTCGTATGATACTTTGAATGAGTTTAGAGGAGTGCCACAAGGGTCGGTTTTGGGTCCCTGACGAAACCATAGATAAATATTTTAAAAATTACAGTGAATTTCAAATCGATTACGTAAAACTGATAACGGTAGATTCCTTGTGGGGTAGCAAACATTGAACTTGCGGGTCAAACATTATCGCCTCCGCATTGTATGAAATGTTTCATTACTTTATTTGTGCTCTAGTAACAATTGCCAATGATGAAACTACGTATTTGTCACTTGTCAACAGTCTTTATCTTTAAAAATGTGATCATATAATAATAAAATGTTTTGTGTAACTTACTTTGATAATTTATTAGACATAACTAAAAGTTCGGTCGTACATAAGAATGATATCTTATTGTGCTGTACACTAAAACTTTCTCAGAGATTTCAAATTCATTACATCAGTGGAAGAGACATAAAATTTTTTTGAGCAGATTTTGAGAAACTTACCCACGTACATATGAAAATTAAATTACTTTTAAATACATGAATGAATATGAACTAATGAAATGTCAACCGTGACCATGGGACCTGTAAAGGGCCCGAAACGTCGGTTTGTTTGAAAAAACAAATATACGCGATTTAAATCCGGAAAAATAGTTTCATTTCCTAATGAAATGTCTTTGAGGTTTTCTGTTGTGTATGTCATTACATAACACAGTTTCAATAAAAGTAAAAAAATTTTTGGGAAACTTGATCAATTACATTTAAAAAAAGGAACGTGTCACAAGACATATGAGCCGTTTGGCTGGTGCCAGATATAACTAAATCGTACTTGATATGAAAAAAAAATAGTTGTGTTTCGTGAGAAATTTGTTTTTAACCGACTTCAAAAAAGGAGGAGGTTCTCAATTCTTCTGTATGTTTTTTTTTGTATATAAGTTACGCGATAACTCCGCCATTTGTGAACCAATTTTGATGATTCTTTGAGGTCGGTTTTTTTAACCGGAGGTTAGGTTATTTACTTCATTTTTGAATAAATTTGTCAGTTTGTTTTTTTTTGTTTGTAAGTTTCTCGGACATTTTACAGGTCACTTTTAGGTCAGGTTTACTTGTTGTAGTAGAAAGAAAGAAAGAAAGAAAATATTTTGACACTACAAAAGAATACAATGGCACCACAAAAGAAAAAAAAGAAACAAAACAAAAGAAAGAGAAAAATATTTCAATCATAGTATGTGACTAAAATATTTTAATCATAGTCACATAATCAAAAAATCACACGTAAGACTCTGATACATAATTACAAAATAAAAAATTAATAATAAAAAAGTTTTATAAATAATAAATATAATAATAATAAATTTTAATTTAAAAAAATACATCGTTCATATGTATAAGCACACTAAGCGCCCAGTTGCACGACGCGTACGTTATCGCGCGGCCGCCGCGCGACGACCGCCCAGTTACCACGCTTTCACGTCCATTAATGGCGAATCTAAGTTCTATTTACTAGGCAACAACATTTAAATTCCTAGGAATAATACAACCGCGTGGTCGCTGCCGTGTAGACCAAACACCAGGCTCGCCCGCGCGCTCAAATCTCTAATATAAACGTAAAAACTAAATAAATAGAACGTATTTTGCCATGACAGGAGCACGCGATCGCGGCGGCCGCGTGGCATGAGCGCGATGAAATTCACGTCGAATAAACACGCCTAAATATAAAAATTATGCTCTGGTAACAAAGAGGTCAGTAACTCAGTATATGCTGGAAAGCGCTGATTTTCAATTAGAACCCTGACTGACTTATGTAACTATATTACTGATGGTGCGGCGTAGTAGTCGTAACTATGTAAGTGGTAAATATGTGATGGTAAGATTAATGTTTCATATTTCATCTTGGTATGATATACTATACCATACTACTTACTAAACTCATTACGCAGTTAGGCAACTACATATTTTTGTCCTTAATTGCTCAATTAACCACGTATTAGAGAATATTTTATTCCTTGTTAGTATTGTGAATAATTGCCTAATCACTTTAACGAATTGTAAAACACGGGAATGTGTGTGTAAGTGGATGCTAGGACGTTAGATGAGGGAAACGGTTTTTCTTAAATTCAATATGGCTTCATAGAACACACAGAGTAGTGTAGATAAAAAATAGAAAACGAAATTTAAAAATTTGTTCAAGGTACGAAACACAGGAATATCATAATCAAAGTAAAAGTCATTTATTTACTGGAATACATTTAACAAGATCTTACTGTATAATTATTAAAATTACAGCATTCAACCTATATAGGTGTGAAAATTTGGTTATATTAAATACAATGTCTAGAATTGTATATGTTAGTATTTCATGTCTTAAATTCTAAGGATTCTCTGATTGTATAATAATAATCTCAGTACAGAGTACTAAAAAAACCGACCTCAAAAGTACGTGGAATTATATTTGTTAAGTTTCATTGAAATATCCCCTAGTTCGCCACTATACAGGACTTGACACTGGAGATAATAAAAATAGGTTCTCACTACGACACTACTCAAAGTATATCGAGAGAAAAACGCCTTGAATTGGAGAAATAGCAAAATCCACTAAATGATTGCTAAAAGTAATTGCTCCTAAATTAAAGTTAGGCGCTATAAAAATGAATCTTCATGCGTAAACAGCCACCCTTTGAGGTGGATGATTTTCTTCAAAATGAAATGGGACCACTATGGAAGTACCCCCTTTCCAACAAAAAAAGAATCATGAAAATCGGTTCACAAATACCGGAGTTATCGCGTAACATACATACAAAAAAAAAATACAAAAAAAAAAGAACATACAGTGGAATTGAGAACCTCCTCCTTTTTTGAAGTCGGTTAAAAACAGTGGTCCATTAGCCAAACCGACAAGACGTTTTTAAAATCGTGACCCCCCTTAACTGTTTTACGTGGTTCGGTAAATGATTGTATACTTTAATAGACATATTAAATGAGTTTCTCTTATCAATAAAAAAAAAAAATTAAGCAAGGAGGTTGACACAAAAGATTAATTATGTTGGCTCTAGTTTGTCGCTGTAATACATCACCACGTTTTTTAAAGTAGCGTGTGTGGTTATCTACAAGTGAGCAGATATCTCTAATATACATACCCATAATTACTATATATAGTGGTTAGATTGGTCTGGACAAGGTAGCTGCCTCTTCTTGGATCCCTCACATACTTATAAATGCATAAACTGAAATATGTGTAGGTAGTAGAAATAACACGTGTACTTATGACATCAAGCATAGATATGAACTCTACATAATAACAGTATATTACATCAATACGTTGATCTTGAACGTCAATTAATTTGTTTACGACATCTGGGTCAGATATAGAGCTCTCCTTTACTAGCTTTAATGTAATTATAGACCTGTCTCTGTGCTACTTTGATTACTGTACAATCTTACTGCCGGTTACGGAATGTTCTCGAAATAGGGAGATTATTGTTAGATAAATGTAATTAACTAAATAAATAAAATGTTTGTATTTCAAATTTTATATATATCGTTGACGAAGTTTCCCCATTATTTAAATTTATGTTTGTGTTGGGAAACCCTCGCAATTCCGTTAAGTTTACATTGAGAACTTATGGCGAATCAATGGGTTAGCTATGGTAATTACTTATATCAAAGAATGTTTGATATTTAGTAAGTGTTTAATGCACTGAGAGTATAAATATATACATACTATTACGTGTGTCTCCCACAGGGATAATCAGAGACCATAATCATCCCTTGACCTGTTTAGCCTACTCCATCAGTGATCGCATCAGTCTCGTCATACATTCGACATTCTTTAAGGACTTATCTCCATTTGATCGAGATATATATGTCTAGGTCTACCTCGTTTCCAGCCACATTTACTGTGTTATTGCTATCGTCAACCTTGTAAGATCCATCATTTCTACATGACCAGATCGTTCATCATTCAAGCATTCCTATTTTAATCCTGGTCACCACGTTGCCGTCATCTTTTACAGCACATCACTATCTTACTACACCGCAACTCACATTGAACTTAAATCAAATCAACAAATCTAAACCTGCACGTTGTTGATGGTGATCATAGAAAATTCTGAAATGTATATTTTTATCAAGATGTTTCTCATCTCAAACCGAATAGTTTATTTGTTAAATACGAACTAATTTATAAAAGTTTAAGTTAATTATTGTAAAAGTACCGTCTTACTGCTAGAAACGGATTTTATCTAAATGCAAAGAAAGGCAAAGAATTTAAAAACTGTAATGTTTAAGGACTGTAAACATAAAAAGCGGTTGGTTGGTGTAGTGATCCCTGGGGTACACTCGATTTGAATTAGAGTTTTTATTACATATTCTGACTTAAAAGTAAGTTCTGTGCATAAATACTGTGTTTTTTATTTGTCATAAAGTGTAGGAGGTAAACATTGCAATGTGATCAATTTAGTACAAAAAGAGACAATATCCACTGTATAAAAAGCTTTTACTAGAAACAGGAGTTTCTTACATTAATCTAACTAAACCATATAAATAAAATATGTATATGAACATTACTAAATACATATAAAAATAAAATAATAAGCAGAGGAACGTGCGATGTCAATTAATGCATCAATTTAATTTGTTTATTACATCGTAAATTTTACTATATCATGTCTTGTGTATTGATATGAAATAGATACGTTCTCTGTTATATTGCTATAATGGGCATTTGGCTGTTATACTCTCTCCTATGATTTTATGAAATTATGATAGTTAACTTTGAGTTATAGTTAGACTTTAAACTTCCTCAGTAACTTTATCAATACGATGTCTACCCTTAGAATAGACTACTATGTTAAACGAGATTGTTTTAAAATTTCAATTTGTAGTTTACTTGTACGTTAATGCAACTGATGGTTAATAATCTATACTGGGTGATCTTTTCTATATTCACATAATATTAGGGGGATGATCCTACTTTTCCATACGAACAACTTTTGTTATAGGGGGGATCCTTTGAAATCGCCTAAAATATCTGCTGGTTTGTTCTAAATTTGTCCAAACTATGGGACAGCTGTTTTTCTTCTTGATTTGTGGAAGATCAATTTCCTTTAAGACAACAACTTCTCTGAATCTCCTAACTCCTACCTACCTACCTTCTACCAGTGGTAGCCTGGTTCCTTTAACAATAATAATAATATCAACATAGCCTCGCACTAGGTAAAACACACAGACAACTACAAATTACACTGAAATTCACTAGATAAATAAATGTAGGCCATACAAATATTTCTCTCGGCCCGGGAATCGAACCTGGGACCTCTGCGTGGCAGTCCGGCATGATAACCGGTCACAGAGGCAGGTTTTTGTGTTTTTTGTTTGTTTGTTTGCTTGCTTTGTTTTAATTTTCAATTGAGGGGTTTGAATTGTAGCGAAATTTGTGGTGTCTTTTCTGTGGGGCAACTCAGTAGTCTTAGAAAGAGCTTTTAAGGTCCGGAAGAAATATATACGAGCGATTTGCAGTGCGTGGTTCGATGACAGTTGCAAACTATTATACAAAACGCGAAACTATGCTAAGCTATGCTGCGGCTTCTCTGGCATGTTTGCCGTAAATAGAGTAGATGATTTTTTCGCCATAATACGATAGAGACATTGATCTTTTCAAATGATGGTGAACGATTCGGCCAATATAATTGTAAGGAGAGTATGCGATACGTGCTATTTGTTAAGCGAACACTCCATTTTTAAAATATAAATTAATTAATTATAATTATACTAATGTAATTCTTAATTATTTACTTCATTAATAATAATAATATTCTATTAATAAAATTCAATTTAATTGTTATGTAATGTAATCTAATGAGTATTGCTAAATTTATTAATGGGTGTATACCTAAATAAAGAAACATTTTATTTTATTTAAACGTATTACTTGCCGTGCATGTACATTAGGGATATCTGCGTATTTGTCAACTCTCATCCTCAATATTTTAAAACGCGTGTGTAGTCATTCAAAGGCAAACTAGAGCAAAAATTATGAATCTTTTATACGAACCTCGTTGCCATAAAGTAATTTATAAGAATATCTGCTTCAACATGTGTATAATTATTTTCAATAAATTACCAAGCGAAATTGAATTATTACAAGGACAAAGTTTAATACTTTTAAATTACAATTGACAAAATGGCTTTTTTGACACATTGCTTCTATAGTAATTTATATATTCTAAGTATTCTTTACTTAGAATATATAAATTCATTACATTAATTTGAAACTGTGGAGACTAAACATTAAATCCCATTAATATTTGCATATCTGCTTGCAGGTTGAAAAAAATGTACCTAATTTTACTTAGGACCTATGTAGTTACTGTATTCTGGCAAATAAACGTATTCTATTCTATTAAATGCACGAAGATTAAGACTGATATGCGATTACTTCACGTTCATAATATGTAGAAGTACACTGTTAACATACCATTTGAAATGTTTCGTTTTGAATTTTACTAGTAACTTGTTATTATGATATATTTTAAAGGCCTTTTCCTTACTGCAATCGCTTCTGACCGTGCCTTCAGTGGGGATTTTGGGAATATAATATTCCCTCACAACCAAATAAATCAAATCAACAGTTTGAAATTAACGGACTAGCAAAGTGTCTACTTTTTTCTTTTTCATGTATTTGTAATGTCGGAATAGATAGTCTTGCGCGGTGGGGATATCTGGAAATATTTTCCTGAAGTCCCCACCAGGCGAGGACGGTCAAGTGAAATTTCAGTAATGATCCATGAAATTGGTAAAGCACCTAAAGCATTTCCAATTTGTACATTGTGGACTTGAAAATTAATCTATATCCATCTGACAATAAGATCATTGTGTCACTATCTCAAAGTCACATGACGTCACCATTAACGCAAGTCAATACCCTCTGACCTGTAAACAAGTTATCTTGGAGATAATTCGAGGCAAATATGGCTTTACCGTTTGGCTTATATAAATTCGGAACAATTTTGTTCGGATATCCTGAAATTCTTGTGTTACAATCATTGACTTACAAATAAATGGACGACGGGTCTAATACAAAAACCACGAAAAAATGTCCCAAGTCAATCTATTTAAACGTAGTGACATGTAAAGGAATATGAAAAAGCTAAAACGTTGAATTTACATTGTAATGTCATCGCAGCACTGTCTAATTTTGCTTGCTTCGCTGTCAGTCGAACAAACGAAGACTAAAGCGTGAATGACGCTCTGTATACGATTTTAACGCCCTATTAGTTCGGACACTTTTTAACGCGGACCCGACGTCCATATAATTGTAAGTCAATGGTTACAATAATGTAATTATTACTCCACTGGAGTTTACATTTAGAATTTCATGTAGTTGCTTTATTTCAAATACTAACTGGAATTAACAAACAAAACTAAAATTATAACTATCTCTTATCAAAATGCTCAATACAAGCGCGCGATCATAGCGCGTATACGCGCAGATTACGTGCGTTTACGACGTGTATAAAATACGCCGAGTGCATATTCTCTGAGCGTCAATTTCAAAACTCTTAGACCCTAAACGGCACAATTATTGTCATTTGACATGTATAGAAAGATTTCACGAAAAGAGTTATTCAAAGTGTCACAACATGGCAAACGCCGTCCCCAGATAACTGTTCAGTAAATAGACGATCTATCATACAATGTTTACAGGTGTCCTGTACGCCGGCCTGATGGTAACCAAATCAGGCCCTATGGTCCTGGAATTCAACTGCCGATTCGGTGACCCTGAAACCCAAGTTCTGATGACGCTACTCGAGTCCGACCTTTATACAATTATGAAGGTATTGTATACCTTAATTTATTTACATATTGTGATAGATAATATAGGCACATTCAAGCATGCGTAAGCAAATAGATGAAACTCGTTAGAGTAAATAAACTTTTCCCTTGACTACCGACTATGGTACTACTATATCATTAGCTTCCAGTAAGCATTAACGCAAATAATTTCCATGCAGAGTACTAACTACTGAGGTACCATCGTTCCAACAAAAAAATTAAACATCAAAATTGGTTCTCAAAATTATCGCGGAACATACATACAAAAAAACATGCAGTCGAACTGCGAACCTCCTCCTTTTTAAAGTCAGCTAAAAAAATACAAAACTCGTTAGCGTAGGTAAACATTTCCCTTGACTACTGTAGTACTATATCATTAGCTTCCAGTAAGCATTAAAACAAAACAAAAAAACTCGCTAGAGTAAATAAACTTTTCTCTTGTCTAATGACTACGGTGCTACTATAGGTAGCATTACCTTCCAGCAGGCGTTAAAACAAAAAAAAGACATTATCTTTTTTTTGTCTAGCGCAAAAAAAAACTCTGGAGAGTAAATAACACTTTCTTTTATCTACCAACTACAGCTGTACTATAGCTACAGTTTCCAATTATGTATTAGCGCAAATAACCTTGCAAAAGATTAGAAAGTTTTCTCGTGTCCATCGACTATTAGTGTGCACGATGGTCATGCTCGTGCCTGTAGAGATAACTAAGATGACGTAATTTTTAGAGCAAAGTGACAACTTCGATAAAACGTATCTTTTGTCTCTATGCTCATACTAAGTGTATTTGATTACGTCTCTCTTCCGTGTATCATTTAATTTGTCCTTTGGTAATTAATAATCATAATTTTTTTTATAAAAAGAACTGACCTCGAAAGTTCGTGGTATTACATCTATTTGTCAAGTTTTATGTTACCGAAAATCGATTACCCTCTTTCCGACAAAAAAGAATCATAAAAATCTGATCACGCGTAAAAATACAAAAAAAAATACAGTCAAATTAAGAACCTCATCCTTTTTTGAAGTTGGTTAACAATTGCAGCCAGTTGCGCTAACAATTTAAGGTTTTATATGGTATGTCGCTTCTAGTACAAATACAGAAACCGGTATTACTCGGTACGGCACGTATCATCCGCGGGTACTGAACTTGAGTCC